GGGATGGGACTAGATGAAGGTGATAACGAACTGGGCCTTACATCAAGGACACAGCGATGAGTCACCCCTTTGAAATCTGAGTTTAGGACCTATATAAGAGACCCTTCCCCATTATTGGGTTGGCAGTAGCTGCGGACCCCACTCTAGGGGCTCCGTCTCAGCTGCTGTCCCGGAGCAATAAACTCTGCTTGCTCAGCCTTCTGCCTCCCGCCTTCCTTCTTGCGGCCGGTCACAGAAGTTGGGACAAAACACTGAGCAGTAACTGGTTCCCTCATTTAATCCTCACAGCAACCCTCTGAGGCTGGGCTTGCTGTCCCCGTTTTAAAGGTGAGGAAGGGGAGGGGTAGAGGGCTAGATAACTTGTCCATGCCTCACAGCTAGTAAGGGGTGGAATGGGGTTTTGAAACCGGGGTCCAGCCCCACAAATTTAATTATGAAGGTAGGGTTGTAGGGGCAGGTGTGGCTGCTTAGGAGGAGCAGAGGCCTGGCCGCTCGGCCCCAAGCTCCTTCTTCCCTCGCCCTTCGTAGCCTCCTTTCCACGGATGTTCCCTGTCACTGACCACACTCCTCTAGGGCAGTAAGGACAGTAGGATTGATACTCAGTTCCTCCTTCCCCTCCGGAATGAGACGGAGACCAGGGAAGAATGTGGGTGTCAGGATTCACAGGCACCCACTCTCTGGCCTCTACTCAGTTGTCCTCAAGCAAGTGTTTGCCAAGGGGCCCAAAATAAGCATGACTCCCAGGCAGGAGAGGCTCAGGCACCCCTCAATCGTGACTGTCAGTCAGCCCTGACCCCCTGTGTAGGAGGAAAGGGGGTGGGAAGTAGAATCAGGACCCAGTGACTGTTTTATTTGCTGCCAGACCCCCAGGACCTAGCTCAGGATAAGCACTCAGGAAATAATTTATTGACTCACAGGACCAGCTGGGCCCACTACAGCTGGGGGTCCAGGCCTGGTCTGTGGGGTGGAGTGACATCTGCCCCAGGGCTGCCTCTGGGATATATAGATCCCACATCCCAGTAAGAGTCCTCCTGATCCGGGGCTCCCCATGTCCCTAGCATGTGGGGGTGAGGAGGGAGATTTGACAGCCAGGTGCACACTGCCCCCAGCCTGCCAGGTCACGTACAACACAAGCACACAGGCAGTGGTTCCCAGGACCGTCTGCCCCAGCGTCACCTGGGGCCTTGCATGAATTGGTGGAAGGATTAAATCATGTCTGGGAGGCACCAGTGACTACCAAGCCCCTTGTGTGCTCCCAACTCACAGACAGGGCAGGAGTTAGGATTTTACACCTTTCAAAACTTAAAAAAAAAAAAAATTATTTATGCATACAGAACTGGGGTACAGACCAGAGGTGCAGAGGCTGTGAGAAGAATTACCAGAGATAAGAGTGGGGAGCAGAACAGGCAGATGGACGAAGCACACTGCTGAAGGGCTCAGCGGGAGGGTCAAGAGAGGTCTGCTGTGCCATGTGGGTCAGCTCCAAGGCAGGGGCTGAGGATCGAACTCACAGAGAAGCAGCTGCAGCAAGCTTGCAGTGCTGTGCTTTAACCCGCTGCACCACCAAGGGAGGACCTCAAAACCTTTTTATACCCACTTAAACCTCAAATTAAAATTTATTGATTTCATAGGCAGGGCAAGATTTTATAAAAATAAACATGTGAATATATGTGTGTGTGTGTGTGTGTATTTATTTATTAGATTCAATTTGTACTGCAGAAATTTTGGAACTAAAGAAGTTAAAAAGAATATAGAAGCTGCCTAACTTCACCCATAAGTGACAGTTACTCTTGCTATGTTTTATATCCTTTATTTCCTTGCTTCCAAACAGCTGAGGAAATGGAGACAGAGAAACATTAAGTAACTGTCCTGAGGTCAAGAAGCCACCAAGTAGCAGAGTCCGGCTTTGAACTCAGGAAGATGGCGCGCCCATCCCCTCGGGTTGCCATGAGGTCAGAGGGCTGGTGCATCATAAGGGCACCCTCTGGACATCAGGTCTGTAAAAGGAGGGTCTCCACAGCAGAAGAGGGAGGTGGCCCTGGGGGCTGTCTCCTACGCTGTCCTGAGGAGTCTGGAGCAGGGAAATGGAGCTTGGCCGGAGCGCGAGGTACCCTCCCTGCAGGGCTCACAGCCTCAGCCGAGCGAGCCTCTGGCTCATCTTTGTGGGCCTGTGCGGCCTCATCCTGCTGGTGCGGCTGCTGGCCAATGTGCTGCTGCTGCTGCTGGTGGGCGGGGGCCCGGCACCCCCGCCCGCTGCTCGCCCTGACCAGCAGAGTCATGGTGAACATCACGCTGTCTGACCTGGTCTTCCTGGCCTGCGTGGTAGCTGTGCTGAAGCCGGGCTTCCTCCCGCAGGACGGGTGGCCGGGCCCTGTCATCTGCACCACCAGCCAGGCCGCCAGCAACGCCATCATGTCCGGCACCTTCTACAGCTTGGTGGCCACGGTGCTTCGGTGTCACATTGCCGTGGCCCGGC